TAATTATTATATATATTAACAACAGCTTTCCAGTTACAATGGTTCTCAGACCTCATTTGGTAGAGCATTGAGCATTAAATTCTGAGAAGGACCTAGTGACCCAAGCTGAATCATGGAGGTACTTGTCCCTTTCTGGAATCCCTAGAAATCACTAGCATCACTATTTGCCATTGGATAGTGAGGGACAGAAGCATAAGATCAAGGTTTCACAGATCTGAAACTACCAGCCAGATTTCTCGTAATTAATATCTGAATGAGAATGAGAATTTACTATGTATTTTACAGATTGTTTTTAACTTTTTAAAAAATGAATTCCAAAGTGCTGGGAATGGCCAGCAATCCCTGTACCCACGGATGAAAGATTTTGCCGTGAAAGAGGCGAAGGCAACGGGGTCAACGCTCAGAGAAGACCCTTTGCTCTTCTTTACTCCCGCCTTTATTGGTCCTTCAGGATAATCACAAATCCTTATCACTGTTTCTCAGGCACGTGATGTGTGACAAGGGGTCATACTGGAAGGAGGAGGATCTGTTTATGGGAAAGATACGATGTGCTAATCTGCATGTTCTATGAGTTCTGCTAAGCATAGCCTAAGGGACAATGCAGACATCTCTTAGATCCCAGGCGGCTGTTTGCGCTAGGAAAGCTTGGGGAAGGCAACTCCCCGCAGCATTCCCGTGGCAGAGTGCTCACACATGCCTCGGCGTTCCAAAGGTCCACGCCCTTCTCCGAGACCGAAACCTTCCCTTGCCCCCAGCGGCTGCTGTGTGACATTGTAGCAAGCCAGGGATTACGGCTGATTTCATGCTCTGCGTTAACCCCAACACCAAAGATGTATATGCTGTACTTCATCTAATCTAAGATGCCATTGATTTTAAGATGATCATTATTTTATGTAACACCAAGAAGGAAAGAAGAAATACCACCAAATAAATGATGACACAATATTAAGACATCATGTATTGTTTGGCTCATTTTGATTTCAAAGATGTTAAAATGAGAAAAAAAAATGTGTCTCTCAATGATGACTTGTCATTGTTAGTAAAGATTAGAAAGATTAGCCCGGGTAATATATGTATTAAATAATAATTGTATTTAAAGTTTTCTTTTTAGATTTTTGAGATGTTTAAGTATATAAATTAAGCTTCGTGTTAAAAAAAAACGCTAAAAACAATAAGCTCCAGTAATTTGTTGACTCAATTAATCAACTGATAAATAAACAATATACATTGGACAGACACCAGTTTGTCACCATTGATCTCTGAACCAATCATCTTTCTCAGGCAACTTTATATCAATGCTGCTTTAAGAATCAAGCCAGTTCACATCAAAAGCCCCTTTTTAAAAAAATTTTGCCAATAACTTTTCATCATGCCCATGAGAGGTCTTTTCACAACTTCACCCAGTTGAGTAAAGCCTAGTTGACCTTTCAAGCACCCCTTGGCTTTGTCTCATCTTTGCTCAAAGGCTGTCAATACTCAAAAGCTAAGGTAAAGAAAGTTCCTGGGACAATTTATTTTTGCCTAATCTTTTCTATTTTTCTTTCACTTATAAAATTATAGAGCTAAGTAGGTTTTAGATGCCTTGTGTTCTAATATCCTCCTTTTAGTAAACCAAAACATAGCAACAAAAGCTCTAATCCTGAAAGATGCTAAAATTTGCCATGTGAATGATTTACCAGTTAATAATAGAACAAGAATTGGAACACAAATCCTCCAAGTCTGACTGTAATAATCTTTCATCTGGGCTATATATATATATTTTTTATATATAAAAATATATTTTTATATATAAAAATATATATTTTTTCAGGGAGCATATATAAAAAATACATATTTTTTCAGGGAGATCTCAGTTCTCTACCTTCTCATGAGATATTGATCTTGTGTCTATAGATTCTGATCTTCTTATCAACATTGACAGAATCAAAAGGAGGCTTACACATGGCTTAGCTGCCACCTTATCTTTATCCATATGTTTATATGAACAGCTGAAGTTTCATCAATCTTATGTAAAATACTTCTAACGTATTGGTTCTACACTGTTTTGATAACTAAAGCTTTATGCTATGTTTTCATATATTGTAAAACAAGCTCTTAAGAACATATACAATGTAGATCTAAGAACTGGAAATTACTTTCTCTGGCTATGTATTTTATACCTCACAATTATTAAATGCTATTTTATCCCTAATATAGACAACTGACTTTTGTAAAATATGTGAATGTCTCCAAATGTTTCAATCTTAAAGTCCAGCCTGTCTAAATTCTACAAAATGCACATAGAATTATGATGCACTTTGGTGATTAATGACATAGCTTCTCTTTGTAAATGTCATTGTTATAATCAGTTTGTAAAAGTGAGGAAAATGGACAAAATTTTAATTGACCTGCTGAATTGGTACCACTAAGCTTAAATTCTATAAATGCCAAGATCATCTTCCCCACAATTTTGGGGAAGATAAAGATAGATAAAATATCTGGCACCATTAAAATATGATCAGACTGAAAACACTCTACATACCTCTTTTTCTGTTGATGGGGAGAACAAGATCCTACAAAGCAATAATCTGCCTAAAAAGCATTTCTGAGAATGACATTTATTTTATTTATTTATTTTTAAAGACTTATTTTACGTATTTATTGGAGAATGAGAGAACGCATGCAGAGGGAGAGGCAGAGGGAAAGGATCCCAAGCAGACTCCACGGTTAGCATGGAGCCTGTCACAGGGCTGAATCCTACGACCCTGAGATCATGAGCTGAGCTGAAATCAAGAGTCAGATGCTCAACCAACTGAGCCATCCAGGCACCCCTGAGAATGACATTTTAAAAATCAAGTGTTTTCATTTTCTGAGTAAATTCCATTATGAAAATCTGTGAAGTCAAGTGCTAAAGTCAAGTGAATAAATTTTTAGGCAAATTCAAATATTCTATATCAAACAACTATTTCCAACAATTTTTTACTGATTTCTCTACATTTTAGCAATAGAAAAGCTGGATTAAAGGTAAGCAAAATCATGGTGATTCAAATATGTAACAAATACATCCCATTTTATTGGTAGCAAATATCCCAAGTCCAGCTCTATCCTTTTTAAAGGCAACTTTGTATTTTTTTCTTGCAAAAACAAGAAAATAAGGCAAGATTTGGGCCGATCTTGCATTGAGTGACAAAAGCATGGAGAGTATAAGGCAGCAAACCTGAAAAGTGTGGTCTGGAGACCCCTGAGGGTTCACAAAATCCTCTCAGGATTCAAAAGCTCTTCATCATAATAATAACATGGTATTTATCATTTTTACTCTCATTCCTTCACACAAGGATAGTTTTTTCAAGGTTTCATGGTATGCGATCTCTCAGTGAGTCAAATGCAGAACAGGTTTGAGAATCCAGCTTTCTTTGATTATACCAGACATTAAATAAATATGCAAAAATGTAAAGTAAGGAGGCTAGAATGATCCATGTAATAATGGATTAGTTGGAACCATCAGTCTGAAGACATTTTTAGCTTAATATATCAATATAGATGGTTACATATAGAAACTTTTATGGATATGTGTATATATACACAGGTTAGTATACACACATATAATTCTTTGCTATGTTAACTGAGAAAGCCTGGAAACAATCAAGGCAACAAGCATATTAGTTTCTAATACCATTCTCCAACAGAAGGAACCAAAGCTTATTGTGGAAATGGATGATTCTAGAACTGGGGCAAAAAATACACAAAATGATCCTGGAGCACCCTGGTTCCAAAAAGTGATAAAGTGCTAAAAAATAAGGAATATGTCAAAGTCACACAGGATCCAACTGAAAGAATCTCCAATAGCTAAAGCTGAAACATTTGCACAATATCAAAAAATTAAGTAGTATTGGATTATAACCAATGCATAAACAAATATTCATGAGTCTATATTGATAGAAATAAATTATTACATAATAAATAAGTGTGAGAGAACACACAAATGTCCCATGTAAAAAAAAAATCAAATAATTTATCTAGATACTCTACCCTTATTTAAGTTGAGCATAATTTCCCACTCCGTAAGTTCTTACTCCTGCAGTAGGGAAGAGGGGAAGGAGAGTTATATTACAGTGGAGAAACCTGACAAACACTACCTCAGCCAGGTGATGAGGATTAATATGAATTGTGATGGCATGTTGATAGAATGCACTTTGATATGATGTGATAAAATGGCACTTTGCCTCTGTGGTCTTCCTTCCCAAAATGCATAACTCTAATCATGAGAAAAGCATCTGAAATATACAAATTAAAGAATAAAATACCTAACCAGTATTCCTCAAAACTGTCAAGGTCATCAAAACAAAGGAAGTCTCAGAAACTATCACACAAGTCTAAAGGAGCCTGAAAAGATGTGACAACTAGATGTAATGTGGTATTCTGAATGCGATCCTGAGACAGAAAAAAACATTAAGTAAAAAAAGGAAATCTGAATAAAATGTCTACTTGGGTTAGTAATCATGTATCAATACTGGTGCAATTAATTATAAAAAAGTACCATACAGATGTAATATTAATAATAGGTGAATTGAATGCAAAGTATATTGACACTCTCTATATTGTCTCTTCAATTTTTCTGTAAGTCTAAAACTGTGTTAAAATAAAGGATTTATTTTTTTAAATATATATATAAAAAACAACCCACTCCTATAGAATGTTTGGGTCCACCTCAAATCCCCAATGTGATGGTATTTGGAGGTGGGGTCTTTAGGATGTGATTATGAAGGTGGAACCCTCATGAATGGGATGGGAGTCCTTACAAAAGAGACTCCAGAGGGATCCACTCACCCTTTTGCCAAGTGAAGTTACAGTGAGAAGACAGGTATCTATGAATCAGGAAGCAGGCCCTCACCAGACACTGGATCTGCCAGTGTCTTCATTTTGTACTTCCCAACCTCTGTAACTGTGAGAAATAAGTGTTTGTTGTTTGAGCTACCCAATCTAAGGTTTTGTTTTTGTTTTTGTTTTTGTTTTTGTTTTAGAGCAAGCTGAATGAACTGAGAGGAAAATTGGTACTGAGGAGTGGATTGCTGCTATAACAAATACTTAAACATGTGGAAGCAGCTACGGAACTGGGTAATGGAATTGGAGGCTGGAAGAGCTCTGAGGTGCATGCTGGAAAAGCTTAGATTGCCATGAACAGAATCTTAAAGGTGATTTTAGTTAGGGCTCAGAATAAAAAGAGGAGAACTGTAGAGGAGAAAGAGAAGAGGAGAAAACTGGAGGAGAGGCAGTCCTTCTTAGAAAGTAGCAAGAGCTTGGTTGAATTATGTTGTGTTCCAGTAGTTTGTAGAAGGTAGAACTTACAAGTGATGACATTGATTCTTTAGCTAAAGCTATTTCTAAACAAAATATTGAAGTATGCCTTGGCTCCTCCTGATTGCCTATAGTAAAATGTAAGAAGAGGAAAATGATTTAAAGACAGAGTTGTTAAGCGAAAAGGAATTGGAACTTAAAGATTTAGAAAATTCTTAGTTTATCCCTAGGACCAAAAAAATGAGAATACTAACTATGTGGCCAAGTGACTATTTGATAAGGAGACTACTATGGCTCAGTAATCTCAGTAGAAGCCAGGAGCTCTTCTCTCTACAGTGCCATTTCTGCAGGCATGCAGAATGCAAGGACCCAGGGCACAGAGCAATCTCAAAGGGTGGTGTTACCTCCCCAGTTCAGGTGGGCCAGAATGCCCCCTCCCAGTTCCTCAGGGGTGGGGCTGCCTCAAAGAGCTTTGGCATGGCCTGGGTCCTGTGGAACCACCTCTGGGACAGGACCCAGGCCTAGGGCCACTACACGGACATCCCTCTGAGCCTGTGAGGTGATATTGCTACCCCAATGGCCTGGAAGACAGAACATGGAGCCAAAGAGGACTATTCTCAAGCCTTTTAAGGTCTAAAGGAATTTGCCCTGTTAAGTTTTTAGTCTTAGCTGGGACCTGTCACTCCTTTCTTTCCTATTTTTCCCTTTTAGAATGGAAATGTCTGAGCCATGCTTGTCCTACCATTGTATTTTGGAAGCACATAACTTGTTTGGTTTTACAGGCTCACATTTGGAGAGGAATTTGCCTCAGGATGAATCATCCCTCAAGTCTCACCTGTATCTAATTTAGATGATAGCTAGAGGAGACTTTGGACTTAGACTTTCGAATTGACACTGGGATATGTTAAGACTTTGGTGACTGTTGGGATGGTATTCTATTACAGCAGCCTGAATAGACTAACATAGCCACTGTTTTCCCTATTTTTTTTGTTTAGAAGAACAGTTATTTTTCATAAACTGCATTATTTATATTAACATGTAATTAGCTTATTAGTGTTACTTTTAGTGAATTGATAAATAAATTTTAACAAACTTTTTAAAAGTGTATGGTATGCTTTGCCCTCCTAGATCAGCAGATTATGGTTCATGTCTAATACATTTGTTTTATTTACCTATTTGTCTCCAGCAAGTAAAACAAATTCCTTAGCATATAGTAAAACCTCAAGATACACTTTCTGATAGAGTTATTGAAAGTACAGTACCCCTGATAAGACCAATCCAGTTTGGTATTATATAGAAAACCTTATTTCTGAGAAGCAATAACATTTAAGCAGTGATTTTAAGGTAGGGGGAATAATGAGTCCAACCTGAAACACAGGTGTTTAGCCAAGAAAGAGTTGATGCTTTGGTCTAGAGAAGAATAGCCTGATTTGAAAATCTTGAAATTTCTTTGAACACTACATCAAAAACTAATGATGTGACTAACGTAACATAATAAAAAATAAATTAATTAATAAGAAAATATTGAACTTGAATATGATTTTAGTCTACATGAAGACTGGTAAGTTATGGAAATAGACCTAAAAAAATAAAACAAATTTGATATGAACAAATGAAAGCATCAGGATAAAAAAGAAAAAAGAAACCTCGTAGTCTTGTCTTTAAGATCAAGAGGTTTATGGAAGCTGGGCAGACTTTGAAGAGATGTTAAAGAAAAGCCTACAGGCCTTCTAGGAATGTGTCAATGGAGCCCTAAGGAGATTTGAGGAGGCTGGGGTGGGATAGGAAAGGAAAAAAAAGAGAAATGGTGCAGGTAGAAAGTTTAGCAACACTGTTTGGGCAGTAAAATGGAAAGAAGGAAAATAACTAATTCAGTAATCTAGCTAAGGAGAATTCCAGGCAGAAGAATATGGTGACATCTGGCTTCATTTTGCTACTTATGATTAAAGCCCAAGAGAGATGAACTAAATAATAAACTGTTAATATAAAGAGACTGGAAGCTTTTGAGTTCAAAAGTGAAACTGTTTCTCATTCTCAGCCATTCTATATGACAATCATCCTCAAATTAAGAATTGTTTTCAGAGAAAGATCAAGCCCAGACTATAAAATTCTCTGTTATCAGAAATTGCTAAGGCAATACCTCACAGAGACTTCCAGACGTTTAAAAGCCCCTCTAAGAAGCCGCAATATGTCTTATAGATTCTATTTAATAACGAGATTTTTAAGAATCCTAAGCATGTTGTTAGACAGCAATTTCACAGGGAGACTAAGATATAGAAGAGATTTGTAGGTGTGACTTTTTTCTAATGGAGAGAATTATAAATTGATAGAAAAGAAACAGATTTTAAAATAAGTATTCCAATCTGGATGGTACAGAGAGAATACAAAATTTCCGTTGGAATGAAGCACTGTGAAAAACTCAGCTACAGAGAAGACCTACTTTGCATGGAGGAGGAAGGATGACTCAGGATGGCAACAAGAACCGAGTGCAGAGCTGAACATGGAGAACAATCCTTAGATAGTAGGACTGAGCCATTTTCAAGAAGGTGGCAACATATTACCAGCTGGATTTCAGAACTGCAATGCCCAATGTCTGCTGTGCGCACAGACTGTGCGCGTATCATTTTTTCTGTTTTTGGAATGGACATGAGTAAAGCAGTTATTCGTGATTTCACACCATTGTAAAAAGGGTGTTTGAAGAGTAAATAACGTGTCTCATTGAGTTATAGATTTTCAGATTAAGAATGCAATCCAAGGAGCTGTGCCTGAGAATTACCATCTGCAACAAATCCTGATTTATATAATGACACATTCAACTTTTAGTTGATGCAATTATGGGATGAGACTTTGAGATTCTTGAGAGAGAGAGAGAGATAACTGTTCTTTTTTATTTTTATTTTTTGCATATAGAAGGGGTGTAAAATGTGTGGACAAAGAGCAGAGTGTGTATTTTCCAAAGGTAGATGACATTTTCCATCCCATATGTTCTCACAGTTTGACACTGACACTGCTCCCATCAAATGATGGGATCCATGCTACCACATATGTGGGACTAACCAGGAAAAACTTTTCATATGTTTGTGTACTTTAGGATATCTTTTTAAAAAATCTCCAGCAATTATTGCAGTCAGAGAATTACCAAAATCTCCATTTTGTGGAGCTAATGAGTTCTCCGAAGGTATAACTAGAAAACCAATTTCATTGATTTTACATTGTTCAAGTTACAGTGGGTTAGTTGATCTACATGGAGATTAGGAGAAGTAGAATTTATATGCACTTGGGTCCTTGTAAGAAGGGCTTTTGTCAAGTCCTTGAGGTCATACATAGAATGAGTGTAAATAAAATGGGGAAGGAGCAGCAGCTTGTGAACATGAATTTTGGAGCTGGAATTAGCTGGAATCACTGGAATCCATTCTACTTATCTGAATCATATAAATATATAGCACTTCTAGAATTATTTCCAGATTCTGAGAGGTTTAAAGATAAGTGCCACATTTTTGGCAATAAATTATGCATCGTTTGTTTCTACAGGCAAAATGAAAAAACGGTACGATTATTTGAGTCTAGTCATTCAGAAATGTTTATTCGGGTTCATTCTAGCAAGTAGAAAATCATGTGTTTGAAGTAACATACAACTTGTTGTAGTGGTTTGACATCTTATTTTCTTCAAAGTAAATGAAAAGACACTGGAGGAAATAAAAAGCCTTCTTCATTAGAGAATCACAGTACTGAAAGGCTATCATTTTCCCATTTCAGGTAAATCTAGCTCTCTTAATCATATTAATTCAGTGTCCCAATTGTTTTGAAAAGTTTATTATTTTTTGCCTTCAATACTATGCCCTTACAATACAGGAAATGGCAAAGTTGAACAGAGCTTTAAAGAAAATGACACTTTCAATCATTCAACAGTCTATAAGAAACACTCTGCTTGCTAAGTTAACAAAACAAACATAGCCCCTCTCCTAATTAGACCTTAGAATATAAGTTAGATATTAATAAAATAGCCACAAGAAACAAAGATAAAACTTAAGCATAACAACAGCTTAGGCGAAAGGTACACAGCAACTCTTGGCGGGGGGCAGTCAAGGAAGACTTTCGTGAGGAAAAGAAACAACCTGAGATGTACAAGATGAGCAGGTATTAGAGGAATGCAAGATGTAGTAGACAGGGTCAGCAGAGATGCGTCAAAAACAATCTGGAGAGCACTGCCTGGCAAAGTCCGGTGGCAAAAGGTAGCATTAGATATTCTAGGACCTGAAAGGAACCCAATGTGGCTGGCGTGAAAGCAGCACGAGGAGAATGTCATAGGTGCAAAAGGGGTCAGACCAAGGGGATTGTTGACTATGATAAAGAATTTAGTATCAATACAAAGGGCAAAGGGAAGTCACGGAAGGGTGTAGGTATGATTAGATTTCAGCTTTTTCAGCTCATGTTGGCTACCTACTAAAGAAATGATGGGATAGGGCAGGAAAGGATGCAAGAACAATAAGAAGGATATTGTATGTCTTTATAACAGGTCATAAGAGAAGTTGCTAAGAAAGGTTGTGAAGATGGAGAAAATAATATTTGGGGAAAATTTAGCAAATATAAGACCCTAGTAATATGAGGGGTATGTGCAGAGTAGGTGGTAAGACGGAGCTCTGCTTTTCTAGCTCTTGACACTTGAGTGATTCCTGAGGTAGGGATTCACGGGGAAAGAACTGTTTGCATGAGTATAGCTTCAACAACATAGGAAGAGACCCACTGGCACAGAAAATGATGATGGGTTTAAGTGGAAGGAATATTTGCTTGGGTACTAATTTCATATTCACCCACTCATAATCAAATATGTTCATGAAATAATGAGTTGTGTTTCCCAGTCTTAGAATTGCATGATTGCATGCACTCAGATAATTCATACCCAGATCCAACCTGTGTATACTATTCTATAGATTAACTTATTAAGCATATGACCTGTTTTTCCAATTAAGTTGAAAATTTCTGGTTGCTAAAGTAAAGACCATGCCAAACATGTATTTTTATAAATTTTAGCAACTAGTATAGTGCCTTCTGATGGTATACTGCACATGCAGAGTGTTTTTCTTTTTTTCTGTTTCATCCTTAAGACTCTTCTGTCCGTATGCTCCATCCTAGAGTCTATCCCTTTTCTGGTACTCTTTATCCTTAGGCTGCTTTTATTTTCTTCAAAGGACTTTTAACTATCTCAAATTATATTTATTTATTGTATTGCATTTGCTTACTGTTTATCATGCCTACAAGATTATAAATGCCAGTCTCCCCGACAAGACTGTAATCTCCATGAGATCAGGACCTTTCTCTTGTTTACCAGTGTATCCTCATTTCCTCATTGAATATTTGTTGAATGAATAAATGAATGACTATAGTACTTCCTCAATAATTACTTCATGAATGAATGAATGATAATGCATATTTATAGCTTTATTTGTGCTCGTGTGCATTGAACCTGATTTTTTTTAAAGATTTTATTTATTTATTTGACAGAGAGATAGCGAGATCAGGAACACAAGCAGGGGGAGTGGGAGAGGGAGAAGCAGGCTTCCAGCTGAGCGGGGAGCCCGATGTGGGGCTCGATCCCAGGACCCTGGGATCATGACTTGAGCCGAAGGCAGACGCTTAACGACTGAGCCACCCAGGCGCCCCAGACCTGATTTTTTTTTTTTAAATCCATCAAGTGAAGGGGCACCTGGGTGGCTCAGTCAGTTAAGCATCTGACTCTTGGTTTTGGCTCAAGTCATAATCTCTGGGTCCTGTGATTGAGTTCTGAATCAGGCTCTGCGATCAGTGGGGAGTCGGCTCAGGATTCTCTCTCTCCCTCTCCCTCTGCTCCTCCCGTAACTCATGCATGCTCTCTCTCTTTCTCTAAAATAAATAAATAAATCTTAAAAAAATAAAAAAAATAAAATCCACCAAGTGAAAATAATTCAATATATCAAAAAATATTCCCCCTTTACTCCTCATCAGCAATGAGAATTCTTTAAGAACAAAAGTTAGAGAAAAAGAAATATGAACAATGGGACTGTCAAAGATGACTGGGATACCCAAATGATGC